ATGCTAACAGTTTCTTTTCTCGCACTTCTCGCTTGTAGAACTCCCTTCCGGATCCATGCTTTTCATCAAACTTTACTCAGCAAAAATTTAAATGCAATGTCAATTGCTATCTGCTGCCTTCCTGATTACTCTATTCTCTTTCTGCACATCATTAATGTTTCTGTTCCTAATTCTTCCCCCACCCCCGTAACCCCTTACGTCTTAGTGGTTTTATTGCCTTGGATGGGATGAAATCGATTAAAAATAAATTTGGAAGGCTGAGGTGGCTGCGTTCATCTCCCGATTTGAGAGGTATTTTACCTGATTAATCTCATAGAACGTCATAAAACTTCATAAAACCTGAATAATCTAAAAGAACTCATAAAACTTCTTAAAATCAAATCAATATCGTAACACCTCATAGAACATGATTGATCTCATAAAACCTCATAAAACCTGATTAATCTCCTAAAATCTCATGAACTCTGATTAATCTCATAAAACCTTATAAAACCTGATTAATCCAGAAACCCTCATAAAACCTGAATAATCTAAAAGAACTCATAAAACTTCTTAAAATTTCATTAATCTCGTAACACCTCATAGAACATGATTGATCTCATAAAACCTCATAAAACCTGATTAATCTCCTAAAATCTCATAAAACCTGATTAATCCATAAAACCTCATAAAACCTGATTAATCCATAAAACCTCATAAAATCTCGTAAACCTAATTAATCTCATAAAACCTTATTAATCATTTGAAAACCTGATTAATTTTGGAGAATATTAAAATGTATATAACACCCGTATTCATACTTGGAGCATAGCGACGCCGAGAAAAATGAATTCAGCCATTAGCCAAAAATAGAATGGGACGGGAGAGAAAGATTTGTCTTCTTACCGGGGATTTATTCAACATTTATAGCAAGTTGATCCGGAGAGAATTAAAAATTCTAACTGAATTCATTGTTGGTGGACACAATCTTAACATAAATCAATCAGTTAATATAGTGATGATATAAGGCACAAAAAAGAGAACTAGACATCGATTTTAAGAACATAGAATGTATAGTTATCTTCAAATACTTACAGAAAGGATTAGACATCAATTGTAAGAAGACTGAATGTATAGGTATCAGCAAAAGTAACAACCCAAGATGCAAACTACGGATTGGTGACACTAAAAATCAGGCAAGTGAAAATATTTAAATATGTCGGATTTGTTTTAACAGAGGACCGAAAATTCGACACCGAAGTCCGATGGCTCATTGAAATAGCAAAAGCTGTCTTTCAAAAGATAAGTAAATTATTAATAAAGAGGAAACATTAGTTAGAAACAACAAAAAGGGTACTGAAATATTAAATCATATAATTCTTGCTATATAACAATGAATGCTGATCAAACTTCTCAAAGATGAAGACGCCACAGTAATGTTGTTCAACAAGATGAAGTTGAGAAGACCATGTACAGAATGTGAGCATGAATAATGTATTAGAGAAAATAGAAACAAAAATGTCACTTCTACTTGGAATCAGACACATTATAAGGAAAATGGTCTTGGAAAACTTGGCGATAATATATTTCAGGTAAAAAGGACAGGAGAATGCAGCGCCTGATCTACATAACGAAATTGTGTAAATGTTTGGCAAAACAGGGACTTGGAGAGATAGCAGAAAAAATAAACTTCACTAAGAGTTATCAAGAAGAAGTTATGGAGAGCCATGATCGTCCTGGAGGAAAACTTTGTCTTCATGATGAATTAAAAATTCAGTCAGTTATGTGCCATGCGTGATACACGCTTAGGCTGTCATGTATCTTTCGATACATGATTGACGAGGCAGATTTTTCCCGCAGTAGTTTACCATTTCTTTCTGCGATTGACCAGTTGCCATCCAAAGCTATAGAACCCGGTCTGTCTTGCTATTTATCCATAGCTGGAGAGGGGAGAAGAGGATTCATATCTTTCCCAAGGGTATCAACACGTAAGTGAATGCAATGGATTAGACTGGAATTCGAACTCAGCTCTCCGATTCCGAGCTGCTATCTATTACTCCATCGTGCTATTATTTCCTTATTGTTTTCCCGCCAATTTTAGACTTATACCCGAAATGATTGGACAATGTTCAGTTACAAATTTTACGCAAGTATAGATGTGTACGAATTAATCTCTTATGTTATAATGGATTTTAGATTATAGAAATATCAAATTACTTTGTGTTTATGTTTTTGCTTTCTTTGTAATAAGGGACCTTAAAAAAAAGCAAGTAATGAATTCTGTTACGAACATGACTGGATGCACGCTCAACGGAGAAAAATGAAATTCTTTTTCAAAATACTGGTCACGACTGTAACAAATGACGAGATTTTTTTTCTTGAAGATAATATATCTGAAGCTATCATTTTTCGCGCGCACACATGTTTTGATTAATCATATAGGTAAGGTAAACTCTGATTTGAAAGCATATATTTCTAAAGTAATCTAATCATGCAGGCCATGAACAAATCATGAAACAAAATCCAGACCCTTATATATCGAAGCAAAGTTCAATAAATGAATGACAGTGGAACAATTATTCTGTGTAATGCGATTTGTCACCCAGAAGAACTTCATAAGAATAACGCAATATCCTTGATGATTGAATTATATTATATACCAGAAAGGCCCTTGAAAATGTCACGGTTTTCCTATTTGAATTTTCAGATGAATCTTAATTCTTAAGTTAATGATTGAATAAACTCATGGCGTGATCTATGACAATAAAATATCCGTAGGAATTCCCTTGTCACTTCGATAAATCTTTGAGCTTAACAACTTTAATAAAATATTGCAATGACAATCATAAATATGAATGCTGGACGTTATTTTAAGAAGTAAGGGGGTACAAATGAAAAGATTTGAGATTGACAACTTTTCCCATTTCACTGAAACAGCCGTTAAATAATTCTATCTAACCTGCTTGCTTTCTTTCATTTCGTCACTGAAACCAAGTAGCGTCTTTGATACGTCTTTTGTTTTTCCACACAGTCAAAACGGAATAGTCCATTATTTATACGGTATGGCAGGAGACATTAAACACTACTATCTTACCTTCTTTCTTTCTTTCTTTCTTTCTTTCTTTTTCTCGCTAAAACCAAGTAGTGTCCTTTCCTTTCTATCCACATGATCAAAATGGAATAGTCCATTATTTATGAAGCATTGGCAGGTTGTAACGATTGTGCGGACTAACAAAGGAAAGGCCAAGCATAATTATTATATGATGTGGAAGAGGAGAATATAAAGACGTTGGAACACTGACATTTTAAATTTCTTTTTCAGACGCATCTGGACAGCCTAGCCGATCTCATTCAGTTACCTTATGATTTTATTTTTGACTTTTTTATTATTAAACATCTCATATTATGGTAACATAAAGTCTGCCAAGAAAGGTGAAATATTGTAATAATCTGGACTTAAATTTACCATGAATAATCTAGCAATTAAAGCACTTTCTATACACGTTTACATTAGAAATTGTTTTCTCTTTTAATTAAAGTAGAATCTTTTACATCAAAATAATGATCAGACTCATTACGAGCGTCTAATGCAGTCAGTGTGTGGTTTTGTAAAAGATCTCTATTGTGTTCAAAGAATCTTTTATTTAAAATCCATGATTTTTCTCCTATGTATTCCTTGTGGCAATCATTATAGGTTATAGACTAAATTCTTCCGTCAAGTTTTAACTTATTATTATTTTATTTTGTGTTAAGTCTTTTATTGTTTTAGCAGTTGGAACAAATAGTCATCAACAGCGGTTCACCTTTAATGGTTAATCTGTGAATATACACTCGAAGGCAAGATCTGAAATGCTGTTCTGTTTGCAAAATACCAAAGCGTTTCCTCAGATAGGCGATGCAAGTTTAAGTTTTGTCTTGGATTATATTTGTGGATTAGGTAGAAGCAAAAACGTTGTAGAAAGTAACGACATGAACGTTAAGTATGATTTTCATCCTCACTGGGGATGTGTCTTTAGGCTATCCAATGAGGATTAAAAAAAATGTTGATGTAATGGATAGGAACTCAGAATAAAAAAATCGAATAGCCGAGTTTGAATTCCAGTGGAAGTTATTTACATTCACTTATAGCAAATACTTTTAGGAATTGTATGAATCTATCGCTTCTTCCCCTTCTGTGGGTTAAATAGTAAAACAGACTGTGTTCTCTAATCGTAGATAGCAATCAGTCTAGAAGAACAATTATGAATTCAAAGCCGTATGTGGCCTTGTAGATGTTGCCAATTGCAGAATGTAACAAACCCGAATTGCAATGATGTCATCTCAAAAGATCTTTCATACTGGCCAATGGATGATGAGAAGTAATTTTTATGAGTTAGATGGAAACTGTAAGAGCACTTTGAGTAGTTGTTTGTGTCTCCTAACATAAGCGTAACCGAAAACTCTACGACATATTAGGATGTCCTGACGGACAACATATTGAACATGGGCGATCCAGATTAATTGGGGATAAATATTTTAAATCCCTCTACCATGATAATCATTACAACATTATCATATATATTTTATTTTGATCACCCCCAAAATAAACTAGTCAACTAGTCAGCATACAACATTTTGACCTCCAAAATTTTTATAGGTCTTTTATTTGAAAGTTATCATTAAAGAAAACTTGGCGATATTTTTTAATGCCAAATTAAGCAATCGTATTCCGTGACTCATCATGGTCGTAGGGGCACCATTGTACTGCAGTAGATACGGTGTTTCTTGGGAGTCCAAACCGGTTTTGAATTCAGTCCTTTCTCCTAGACAGGTTGCCACCAAAGGTTATCCTGCTATGGGTAAATAGGGAAGAAGACGATTCATACCTTCCGCAAGTGTATTCGGACGTAAGTAAATGTAATGGATCCGACTGGAATTCGAACTCGGCTCTCCAATTCGTCAATCCGAGCTGCTATCTATTACTCCACTTTATTATTTGTGAATTATCATAACTTCTTAGAAAACATATTGCTTTCCGGATTTACGGCCACATCACGTTGAAACACCGGTTCTTGTACGATCACCGAAGTTAAGCAATTTTGAGCCTGAACAATACCTAGATGATTGACCGCTTGGAAATACCAGCTGCTGTAATATTCGATGTGAGGGTGGTTTAAAGGATAATAGCTAAGAATTGTTAATCGTAGAGCCCAGTTCCAATTCCGGTCAAGTTCGTTATATTCACTTACACGCACTTAAGAAACGTATGAATCCGCCTATTCTCCCTCAAGCTATGGGTTAATTAGTAAGGCTTGTATCACTAAAACTATTATCAAAGAAATTATGCAATTACGTACAAAATATTTATATTTCGGAATTAAATGACCCTTAGAGGTGTTGATATGCCGCTAAACAACCAATCAACATAGATTTTCTCCACTGCCATAGCCACAGTTTGTAATTTATGTGTTATAATTATTTACATTAATAATATTCGAACTATTGTCCTTTTATTTGTTGTTATTATCTTAACGTCTCAGCCGATTAGGTCCCCAAGTCCTATACTGGCCCACTGGATTAATATGTCGGTTCGTGAATTTGGGGACATTGTGTTTGAGAGTTCAATCCCTGGGCTGTGTAGGGGAGACTTAAACTCAGTAGGAACAGGGTGAGCAATAAGTGGACTGTACTATATAAGTCCAAGGCAAGGTATTCCTATAGTTGGCCGACGGAAAGGGTTCAGTTCATAATTCCTAGAAGGCGCCGAATGAAGGCCGGAGAAAACAGGAGCCGAAACGTTGGGATAACAACAGCCAAGATGAGGATAACAGTTTGTAAATAATTTAAATATGAATTGAGAGTTATTCTCTTTTTAGACTGGGTGCCACGCAAGGTGAAAGTTTACTATACTATTCTCCTGTAGTGAGAGGAGAAAAGACGCATTCATGTCTTTTCCAAGGGCATTCGTACGGAATTGAAAGCAACAGACGAAGCCGAAATTTGAACTTTGATCGCCTTATTCACTTTCCATACCGATATCCGGAGCACTATCCACACATTCTTTACAATACCTAAAACTATATTTTATTGAATTCATAAAATGTAATAATTAGTTTCTGGCAATTCAATTGGAGTTTCCATATGTAACTTAACCTACAGCAATACCAAACTAGGGTGAGTTTTTTCTAACCATTGCTTTATGGAAAGATCATTATGACCATATATATATATATAACATTGAAGCCAACACTCACAGGCGACAGGCTGTTTCATACTAAACTCAGATCGCCTGAAGATCGCGTCTAGCATGAAACACCCTGTTGCCTCTGAGTGTTGACTTCAATGTTCATATTTTCTTTTATATTTATATACGTTCTATCTCTGATATTGAGCACTGCAGTTTAGCAGGATATCCGATAAATATAGCACACCTTAAAACTATATATATATATATATAAATCGAAGTTCACCTCATGCAAGACAGTAAAGCCACAATGAGTTACTGGGTGTGAAAGAATTAGAAAACAGAAAACTTACTAATGAGCAAGAACAAAATAGTAATCAGGAGGACAGTAGAAGCGATTGATATTGCATTTAAATTTTTGAAGATTAAAGTTGGCTGGAAAACATGGAGCCGGAAGGGAGTTCCACAAGCGAGAAGTGCACCTGACGATTGCGCCTAAAATGAAACAACCTGTCGCTTCTGAGTCTTGACTTCAATGTTCACTTTTATACGTACATACGCCCTATTTCTGATATTGAGCACTTTATCCCATAAATATAGCACACCTTAAAACTATATATATATATATATATATATATATATATATATATATATAAATCGGAGTTCACCTCATGCAAGACAGTAAAGCCACAAGAAATTACTGGATGTGAAAGAATTAGAAAACAGAAACTTTACTAATGAGCAAGAACAAAAAAGAATAATCAGGAGGACAGTAGAAAGCGATTGATATTGCATTTAAATCTGTTGAAATTTTTGAAAGATTAAAGTTGGCTGGAAAGCATGGAGCCAAAGGGAGTTCCACAAGCGAGAAGTGTGAGAAAAGAAACTGTTAGCATAGAATTTACGGCTACATTTAGCCAACTCGGACTGTTCACCCAAGTTCTTTAGATGCTTAAGATCCTCAGTGTCACTCTCTCAACACTTTCTACGCATACATTGTGCTGATTACGGAAAGGGATGTTTTATAGGCAATAGAGCCTTATTTGGGGGTCAGTGATCCCATGGTATTTCTCAACTGGTCAATCAAATACAGCCTAGTGAATTGCTTACAGAAAAATAAGATGAAAAATTATTAATAATAAATAAATAAAAAGTAGTAGTAATAGTCAGGACACTGGTTCGAACAATTAATATTCATTTCCTACCACCTTAAAAATATGACTCTTAAAATTCGTTAAAGTTTTTTTTTCTTTCATCGTGAAATAGCTTTCCCTTCTGAGATCAAATGTTGATCGCCACTCAACCTTTCTGTTGTGGATCCCACGTGAAAATAGGTATCCAATAAATGACAAACGCAAGTATTTAAGCTAAGAAATTAAATGTATTTACACAAAATACAAAAGGTAATGCTGTTAGTAAAATCCAGGAACACGGTTAGTAGCAAATACAGATAGATATATACAGTCTCGACGTAGGACTTCCTTAGAGTCTACGTGCTTGTAACTGACTTCTACACGAGGTTACTTCACTCTATCCGACTACCGACACTCCCAGACGACTCCGGTACGACTCATCTTCTCTGTCCTGACTGTGGCTATTTTATGGCAGTAGTCCATTATATCCGAAAAGAGTGGACCCCATAACACTTTCATATTACACTTCTACACTAGCTATGATGTCATAGTCATTTTCTTTAGTCTTTTCTTTTCAAAAGTTTACGCAGATTTCAAATTCAGATCTAATTTCTTTCAAGTTGATGTCAGAGTAAAAATCAAGCGTCCTGCAGTTTAGCTGGATTCCTTTTTTGCTTCTCGCTAATGTAGATTTTATTTCTTGTGAAACGAAATTATTTTTCTGATGACGCAAGTTCGTCGACGAAAAAGTGAAGATAGATAGATAGATAGATAGATAGAAATGAACAGATAGATAGATAGATAGATAGATAGATAGATAGATAGATAGATAGATAGATAGTGTTATGGAGTGATTTCACAGTGAAGGCTTGTATTTGAACTAAGTCGGTCCTAAAAAAGGTTCGACGTACAAAACGTTAGGAACTTGATATAATAGGTATGACGCAGAGAAATCTAGTTGTGGTCACTGATACTTTAGTATCCGACTAACGGTCGTCCGGCATCGACTGACTGACCGACCCACTGAGCGACTCCTACTACTACTACTTATTATAGGTGGGAGAGTCTATTAACTATAGAATTGGTGTGTTCCACTATAATAGATAGATAGATAGATAGATAGATAGATACCATGCTAGCCTCCATTAAAGTGACTCATTTCACCTTCTCAGACAAAAGTTTTCAGCTGACATGAACTGGAAAGAATATATTGAATCAGTTGCAAAGTCTGCAGTTAGGAAAGTTGGTTCACTGTGTCGCGTTAGACAATTTGTCTTGTCAGAATCTTACATATTTATAAGCCCCATCATTCGTCCTTGCTTTGAATACTGCTGCCACATCTGGTCTGGTGCTTTATTTAGATATTTAGAAATTTAGAGATTCTCGATAAAATCCAAAGAAGTATCTGCAACGTTATTGGTCCTGGCCTAGCATCTCAGCTTCAGTCTCTTTTCCAACGCCGTAACGTAACTTCCCTGTGCCTTTTCCATAAATACTTTCATTGTTCCGATGAACTTTGTGTTACGGTACGACACATACTTACATAGAATGGTAACTAAGAATGTGTTGTTTTTGTGTAAGTTATACTGTGGTATTTTTGAATCAGTAATTGTGGCTAGCTAAGTTTAAAATGAGACAGATTGAAGACCAGCCTTCTTCTAGTCCCCACTTTTGGCCTTGTGCCACATTTTTGTATTATATCAAAATAAATATTACTTTCTGACATGGTACGTAGACTTTATGAATTTAAGCGGAATACTAGATTGGCTGCAAGGTCTCATCATTTTACAATTGAATTGGGTACAGGTAACCGTAAGTTCTATGCTAACAGCTTCTTCTATCGCACTTCTCGCTTGTGGAGCATTCTTCCTGCTTCTTCCTTTCCAGTCAACTTTGTTTCAAAAATATAAATGCAATGTCAATCGTTATCTTCTGTCTTCTTAATAGTTGTTCTTTTATTGTCCTCTCTCCTTAATAGTAGCTTTTCTCATATTTTCTAACACCCAGTAACCCCTTGCATCCTAGTGACTTTATTGCCTTCTTTGTAGTGAAATGATTAAATAAATAAAAAGAAAAAAGATAGATTGTTTAAAATTTTCAATATTTGCGGGAAGATAGAGAAATTTGAACACTGAATTTCTAGGCAGATATGATTTTTACATACGGCCGCGCAAATGGTAATGGACGCGAGGTTACACGGCTGGATATAATTGCGTTTCCAGACCGAAGGCAGTCGAGTCATCCAACCTTTGCTGCTGTTTATCGTCACGTTGCTGAAACAGGATCCCTGGCACCACAATCTGTGTATCGAGGAAGACCGATTGTACATTTAACAACATCTGCTGCAAACTTTAAACTTAGTAACTCAAAAACGAAGGATTTGCGGACATATGTTTATACGGACTTTTGTCCTTGCTTTGATAAAAGTATTTTTGATACACCCTGTATATATATATATATATATATATATATATATATATATATATATTATGTGTGTGTGTGTGTGTGTGTGTATGTGTGAGTGTGTGTGTGTGTGTGTGTGTGTGGTAAATTATATAATGGTCTATTGTTCTTGTGCTCGAAATATATGAAGAATAGGCGTGGAAGAGTCTGGAACCGAAGTAGAGAAAATGAGAAATGAGACTTTTTACCGTCTCCTTGCGGGCTAAGTGCGTCTAGTACGTCTACAGCCATACAGACCCGTACACATATGCACTCGCACTGACACAAATGCACTGATTCTCTTGAAAAGCAGCTCAGTTCTTAGAACCGACAGCCTGACTACCCGCACATATCATTTGATTCTAGTGGTGAAGGCTTGTGTAGAACCCACCACTTTGGGGGTGGGGGAGCCGAATACAGTGTATTGGTTCGCATAATGTTCCAGAAGGTCTCCAAATAACCCTCCCAAGATTTTGAATTCACAGATGTACTTCGTAGGCTATAGAGCCAAGGCTGTCCTGCTATTTGCCCATAGAGAAGAGATGGGTTCATGCCTTTCCCAAGTGTATTTACGTGTATGTAGCGAACTTGGCTGGAATTCGAACTCGGCTCTCCGATTCCTCAATCCACAATTCATTACTCCATAGTGCCTCTCCCTCTTCCCTCCCCCTCTCTCTGTCTCTCTCTCTCTCTCTCTCTCTGTCTCTGTCTCTCTCTCTCTGTATCTCTCTCTCTCTCTCTCTCTTTTGGGAAAAATGTATGACAAAGTGGGAAAAGTTTTCTTGTGAAGCATCTTGTCCATTAGAATTCCACTGGACGAAGTTTGTTATGTTGCTGCAACTACACATGCGCACGGACCAGTGATACTGGGAATTTTGAATTTTAAATTCTATTAATTGATGATGTTCCTAGGTCCACCATAGACTGGGGTGGTAGCACCTGTTAGGGTCCCAGCTATAGGCAAATAGTTATCCCCCAAACTGGTTTCAAAATACTATAAAAGTGTAAAAATAAATTTTTACATTAAAATGTCAGCAATACGTTTTTGAAAAAAAATTATTAACAGCAATACTCTCGAAAAAAAACCCTCTTTACAAAAATACGCCAATAAAATATGATTTACAAACAGATTCCTTACAAAGAATACACATTCTACTCATACAAACCTATTTTAAAAATCATGTAGGTATTAAATAACTCATTGAGGTGTTGATATGCAGTAAAACACAATAAACCAAACCAAGCCATGAGCATCTTCTTTTTTCAAAAGTGCCCTGTTTGAAAGCGTATAATTCGTTCTTAATATTCAAATATTCGTTCTATTATCAAGAGTTATTCCAGCAATTGAAAACTGAAAATGCTAATGGCCCATTTTAAAATGGTTGGTTTGCAATGATCTTATTGTTCCTGTTCTTGTCATGTTGGGAATGCTTTCAGTTTGTAAATGTCAGCATTGCTTTTCATTCGAATGGAAACGATCGGCGGCAAACCGCCTACATACAGAAAGAACATAAACTGCACAAAATAGAAATGGGCGTAAGACAAGGATACGTCTTCAAATTGGCTTTATTTAACCTTTAGAAGTTAATATCAATTGTAAGAGAATCGTCAGCAAAAGGTATAACTCGAGATGCGAACAACGAATTAGAGACGCAATTGTCCTTTATGAGAGAAAGGACAACTCAACACCACCAACTCAACACCGCCGACTGAGCGTCGGGACAACTCAGGACCGACACAACTCAGCACCAAAAAAAAACATAACTTTTTTATAACCGAATAAATATAATTTATTAAAGATTAAAACTTTAATTAGTAAATATTATTCTTCAAATAAGACATTTGAAAATGCATTATGTAAAATATGAACAAGTTTTTTTTTATTATTTATTTTTAATAAAGTAAATCGTAAAGAAATTTAATTTTCAATAAAGTAAATTGACATATAAAAAATATGAATATCGATTTACTTCATTAAAAAATAATTAAAAACAAAAACTGGTTGTATTTTAAGTTTAGAATTTTTAATGGTAAGATAATCCTTGAAAAACAGCGAGTTTTGCATTCTAAGCACCAAGTTGTCATCATTTTCGACTCTTTTCTCTTCAACAAGTATGCATGCAACTGTAGCACTGTCTTTGAGTTGTTCTTCCAAGTTTATTTGCAGAGAAATATTCCTGGAAATAATTTGGCGTCATTAATTCTTGTAAATAGCAACCCTATGAACCCGCTGTTTTCTAATGATACATCAATTGATGATGCCCGCTGTTCACCAATGAAGCATCAATCGATGATTCTTTTTTTTCTACAGTGAGGCATCAATTGACGATGCCCTTTTTTCTCCAATATATAATCTAGCCGATTTCATTTACATTCTTTTTCTGTTTATCACTTTGTTATCAAATACCTAACATTCTGTTAACAGATGATCTCCCAAGAATGGGGAAACGTTGTAAGAACCTGGGCACAAATTTACTGTGGATGATTAAAGCATTTTCTAAACATATTCGTTTCAGTGAATTGTTTTCTCTTTTAATTAGAGTAGCATTTTTATGTTAAAATTGGGGTCAGTCTCGTTACGTTGAGCAACTAATGCGTTTAACGTGTTGTTTTGTGAAATATTCCTTTTATGTTCATATAATTTAGTTAAATTTTTTGAGGTTTCTCCGAAATCGTGACAATCATTTCAGGTAAATTCCTCCATCCAGTTTTAGCTCATTGCTTTTTTTTGTATTGAGTAAGTCTTTTATTGTAGTTTTTAACAAATTTATATTTTATAATGAAAAGCAACTGAAATTAATATGAAAGTATTATTCTTCACAATTAATAATGGTTTAAGATTACTTTTTTGTCTAATAAAAAAGTAAGTTCATGATGTTACTAATGATATGTAATAACATTAGTAGTACGTATTCGTCAGTCCTGAAAGGCTAAGGAATCTACTAAAATGACTATCTAATCCCTGTTGTAGACACCGATATGTGTGTTTGTGTGTCTGTCTGTCTGTCTGCGTGAGTATTTCTGTCTATGTGTGTTCAAGTCACTTTACCTAGAAATTTCAATCGACTTTTATTTTTGTCTGCGATGGAAAACAGAAGAAAAAACAGGAAGCAATTATGTGAGAAGTTAATGACACCGGTGAAATATTTAAAATTAAACAAATAAGTATTGTTTGCTTCTAGTTGGGCCTAAAGTAATTGCATTCTTATATACGCCGGACTTCCACTCTGAACTTTCTTTTGCGACGTTGTTTTGTTCTCATGAAATCAGAAATAATGAAAGGACGAATGAGTAGGCGTTGTGGATGCGAACTAACAAAACCACTACAATGGACTTGAATTGCAAGGAGGCAACAAAAATGGCTGCTTAAATGTCGATTGAAATACGGAGAACTGATCTGTCTATATTTCTGAGATGAGGCATTATGTACAATATTTACATTATTCGGACTATTGTCCTGATCTTTGTTGCCATATTTATCACAACGTTTCGGTCGTTAAATTTATAAGTCCCAGAAATTCATGCACAGACGCCCTTAAGGACACATGGCACGGTGGATAAAGGTGTTGGTTAGATCCAATGAGAGAACACAAAGAGTTGTGAATTCAATACCTAGAGAGGTGAATTAACAGGAGATAACTGACATCCAGTAGACATGGCATGTGAAACTAGAACAGTCTACCTCAGCGTGCGAAATAAAGGGTTCAGTTCGACATTCAAACCACCTGAAGAAAACCGGAGCGTACAACAGCTGAATCGTTGTAATAAATATGGCAACAAAGATGAGAACTGAGTATCAATTGGAATTCATATCCACACAACAGTTTTCTCTTTTTCTTTCTCTTTCTCTCTCTCTCTCTCTCTCTCTCTCTCTCTCTCTTTCATCGTCTCATAAAAACCACGTGTAATTCTTTTTAATGTTTAGAAGATTCCTGAACAGATTTATTTTCTCGATTAATACGCAGAATATGTCACATTATTATTTTTAGTCAAGTTAACACCAATCAAGGCACTAAAGTCACTAAAACACAATGAGTTACTGGATGTGGAAGAATTAGAAAACAGAAACCTTACTAAGGAGTGAGAAAAAAAGAAGAGCAATCAGTAGGACAGTAGATGACGATTGACATTGGATTTAAATTTATGAAAATCAAACTTGGAAAGTATGTAACGACATGGCAATAATTCATTCATATTTCGTTTGTAAAATATCTAAGTGGTAACTCTAACATACATAGGGTTGCTATTTACAAGAGTTAATGGCGCCAAATTACTTTCGTGTGTATTTCCCTGCAAATAAACTTGGAAGAACACCCCAAAGATACTGCTATAGTTGCATGCATACTTCTCGAAGAGAAAAGAGTCAAAAATGGTGACAGCTTGGTGTATAGAATATAAAAAACGTTATTGTTCTTAAGTTTTTTGTTTTTAATTATTTTTAATGAAGTAAATCGATATTTTTATATGTCAATTTACTTCATTGAAAACTAAATTTCCTTACGGTTTTCTTAATTAAAAATAAGTAAAAACAAAAAAAAAGGTTCATTCTTTACATAATGCCTTTTCAAATGCCTTATTCCATAAGCAGTAAGTGCGAGAAAAGAAACTGTTTGCATAAAAGCTTACGGTTACATCTAACCGACACAACTGTAAATTGAAGAGACCTCGTTACCAATCTAGTACTGCACCTAAATTCATAGAGTCTAAATGCCATAGAGGAAAGTTCAACAGAATAATTACTATAAAAGTAATTATAGAAAAGGCTCAGGGAAATTACATTGGAAAGTGACTGAAGCCGAGATGCCAGAAGCGGATAAATGGTATTGCAGATGGTTTAGATTTTATCATCGATCTCTAAATATATATCAAGGGTACCCTACCATATGTGTCAACAATATTCAAAGCATAGTATTAGTAAAAACTTCCTTCTCATACAGTAAAGTTGTGTCGAAATTCAAGTAGCTAATCAATATGATCACATGTTTATCTGATTTTAAACGAACCTAGAGAAGCCTGTGGCTGCTATAAATTCAATGTACAATAGCGAAGACTTCATCCGAACAATTACCATGAAAGTATTTATAGAAAAGGCAAAGGGATGCAACTTTACGGCGGTAGGAAAGACCAATAATATTTCTGATTTTTTCTTGGGGATTCGTCTTCACGTATTCTGTTATTCATTTCATTTGATTTTCCCTGGTAAACGTCTTTCGAAAGAGGCTTCGTAATCGATTTCCTGTTTTGTTCTTGATTCATCAGCTGAAAATTCCTCGCTTTCACTGAGCCTAAAATGTTCCTACTTTGTAATCATGTGGTGTACCTGTGTCTTTGGTGAAGGTATGTGGGTATCCTGCCCGGGAGGTGGAATTATGGTAGCAATGGAAAGAGAGCAGAAAGGGTTAAGCATCAACTGTAAGAAAACAGAATGTACACTGTTACGACGATTTCACATATTGCTCAGTTTTCGTGCGCTTTACAACGCCTACGACAAACACCACCTCGTGCGGTTACGTCTTAGGATTCCACATCATGACCTTTTCGGTCACTTCCTTTCAGCTTTGGTCATGATATCGGTGAACTGACGAAAACCATCGTTCCACCATGAAATTCGACAGCCAGGTAGCGTGGTACGAACATTGACATAAAACTTCCGGTCCCATACTCTCTCTCTCTCTCTCTCTCTCTCTCTCTCTCTCTCTCTCTATATATATATATATATATATATATATATTATCATAAAACCCTTCTCTTTGTAAAATATATTTATATATATATATTTATATATCATTTTATCATATCGAACCCTTCCTAGGTTTCCAACGTATCTTTTATATATTTCATTCTTATTTCATCATATATATATATATATATATATATATATATATATATATATATAAAGAACAGTAAGATATGTAATCCGGTGTTCTTATAGATATTTTATTTTTTACAAAATAGTGCTCAATGTAAATTTACAGAGCATTAATATTAGAACTGTGTAGCGAAAAAAAAACATATTTTAAATAAATCAATTTATTATATATATATATATATATATATATATATATATATATGGGGGATTTACATTGTTCGGGCTGTCATCCTCATCTTTGATGCCATATTTATCACAACGTTTTATAGCTGTTGTACGCTCCGGTTTTCTTCAGGTGGTTGAAATATCGAACTGAAACCTTTATTTCTCTCACTGGAGTAGACTGTTCTAGTTCCACGTGCCATGTCAGATGGATGCCAGTTATCAGTTATCTCCTGTTAATTCCCCTCTCCAAGTCGGCCGAAACGTTGTGATAAATATGCCAACAAAGATGAGGATGATAGTCCGAACAATGTAAATAGTGTACATGATACCTCATCTCAGAAATATATATATATATATATATATATATATACTTATTATAAGTTGTTACATACGGAGAGACAAGTACTCACGACAAAGATGCATATTTGTTTCGATGCGTAAGCATCTCATTGAAACAAATATGTATCTTTGTCGTAACAACTTATAATAAATAAATAACTATTACTCTACACTTGGTACTGAGCCCTCTTTTAAATTAACGTTATGAACGTTTGAATTTATATTCTTTTAATTCTCATTACATTTGGATATATATATATATATATATATATATATATATATATATATATATATATGTACGTTTGCGCCCGTGCGCCCGTCTGCGAGGACATGTAGGGTGTTATGATTATTTGTCCTTCGTTTTTTCTTCTTTTTTTTTTTTGTTTACTTTACACATCTCTTTTTTTTCTTTTTTCTTCTTTTCTTTCGACAGTTATCGTTTGTGGCAAGTTTTTGTGTGTGTATGTATATATTTAGTTGCACACACACACCTATAGGTGCGTATGTTTAATATTTGTTATTTTATTTACTTATTAATAAATTAAGTTTATATTATATTTATTTTATTTATTTAAAGTTTATATTATGCTTATTTCATTTATTTAGAATTTATATCATGTTTATTTTATTTATATTTATTTGTTTATTTTTAGTTAGTGCTTAGATTGCAGTAAGTAAATATTTATTTGTATGCCTACATTTACCCATTATTTCAATTTTCTTGTTTAAGAGTTCCTTTTGGATTTAAAAAGTATTGCTAATTTTTCCTCTAAGCATAATTTATATTTTTATTGTTAATACTGTATGGGGCTACTCTTTTTATAATTTCCCATTTGATTTTTTATAGGGATATTGTTTTCTTTTTTTTATAGGGATATTGTTTTTATAGGGATATTGTTTTTATAGAGATATTGTTTTCTTTTTCGTTCCATATGTATTTTCATAAGGTTGTATTTTTTGTGTATTTTTCTTTCGAATAATATTTTGTAGTTATAAAATATTTCTTTAAAAGTTTATTTTTTGTTTTTTCTACGTCGCCTATGTAAATTATTTCGTCTCTGTTAATGCTATTAGTTACGATTGCTTTGTATATTACGCTGTTGGTTAAACATTTTTAGTAATTGGGCAATTTTCTTTGTTTCTGCAGTTACATTTAATGGTATTAATTTGCTGCATGTTATTATTATTGTTTTAATTGTTATTGGTTTTGTTGAGTATATTTTTATTGTGTTTAGTTATTATTTTCTCTATGTTATCCATGCAGCTGTAACTAATTTTGATTATATTTTTGTTGATAATTTTTGATAATATTCTGTTTTTAGGGAGGTGTGTGTCAATTATTTTTAAGGATATTTTCCCTATTTTTGTTTTTATTGTATTGTTGTAGGCGGGGGTGAACCATATTCTAGTCCTTTTTCTGTTGAATTATTTTCGTTTTTGTATTCTAGTTTGAATATGCGCCGTTTCTTAGGGATGATTCATATGTTGTTTTTTTTATTTTATTTTCGTTGAATATTTTTAGACTACTAGAATTTGTTGAAATTCTTTTATTTATTGATATGGGAATTTGTCTGAATACGTTATGCAGGTGTTTAGAATTTTTGCTGATGTATATTGCGTTGTTGTTTGAGGGTTATGATTTTTTGTAATTTTTACAAAATAATTAATTCCCTGTATCATAATACGATGAACATTCGTTTAGAAATAATGAAGAAGGTTTTAATTCAGTATATATGTTTGAAATGGCACCCCGACACGAAATTATATTGATTGGAATCTCAAGTGTTTTAGTTGCTTTCAGTAAAATCGTTTAAAATCGTCAATTTTGACACATTTTGAAACATTTGTAAACAAAAGTTAAAAATCTTTTAAAAAATAAAATATACTTTTCTGAAGCTTTATTTGAGGAATGTTAGATGATTTAAAGTATAATTAACCTGATCTGAAACAAATAATATTTACTTTGAGTTTTAGATAATAGAAAAATAGATTTTTAAAGTACTGGAAGGTGTTGACAGATTTATTTGTTGTTCTACGAAGTCTTTTTCTGTTAAAACATAATTTAAGACAAGGAAACACATTTTTATATAATTTTAAGTACTTGGTAATTTTAAAAATGTTGGAAAATATTCCCCGTAATCTAATTTTATGAATGTTGAATTTGAATTTATTATAGTTATCGTTCTTATTTTCTGATAATGTCGTGTATGGTCGACCATACTCTCAAACAGGAGGAAGTTACGTAATATTTTATATACATAAAAAAATTAAAATTATTTTAAAATTCTTGATGCAAAATAATTTGTATTAAGCTTTTCAATTTTTGATTAGTAAATATAGTTTTCACTTAATAACAATTTCCCTTAACTGGATTGAGGTGTTTGTTTATTTTCAATAATATCCTTTCGTAATCACGTATAAGCTTTGTTGTTTCATGATTAAGGACAGCAAGAAAGGTACCATGGTTATAGTTATTCATTTTTATTTTTCCAAGTACTTTCGATATATTCCAATATCATCTTCAGTGTTAAGAAAAATAATTGCGTTTATTCGAAATATTTCAATTTTTAAACATGTTACCTCCCTTACATTAAAATTTTTACAACATGGAGAAATTTTAAAATCTCCGTTTGTGACTCTGCGCATGATCGGATTTGGTAACGGTTTAACCACAAAACAAAACAAAAAATTTTCGTACAAACACAGTTATTTGTTTTAGCCATCAAAACCCTAAAGGTAAGATCAGAATATGTCAAAAGTACTCAGAAAAATAAAAATGATTAAATATAACTATGGTACCTTTCTTGCTGTCTTTAATCATAAAACAACAAAGAGTATACGTGATTGCGAAAAATTATTTATTATTTAAAATAAACAAACACAACATGTCTAAAAAAATTTTTAATTAGACACGTTTATGTGAAAATATGCTGCCAAAATATACGGAATATATATATATATATATATATATATATATATATATATATATATATATATATATAGAGAGAGAGAGAGAGAGAGAGAGAGAGAATTGTTTCATTGAATATACGCAATTTAAACTATATGACCCAAAAAGCAGCTTAACAGAATATCAACAGCTGGAATATAGTCTTGTGAGAAGGCAAATTGAAATAGCCTATGACAGATTAAACACTCTCAATAACAGCAAACAAGATATATACAATAAACTAAAACATACAACTACCCTTGAACAACTGAAAGAAATTACACATCCTCGAAGAAATTACCCACAAATCCGAAAGTCAACACCGGTTAAAAATTTAAAAAAAAAACAAAACTGGACGCACTTTACATAGGATGTAGGACTCTTCCTAATAAAATCGATAAATTTATTAATATTTCTAACTATGAACTAAGCATCAAAAAGATTTGCTTAACTTGGGACCCAGTTGCGATATATACCGTAATTATAATCGACTGTTTAAAAAAAAAAAAAAAAGAAATTGAGACGCTATGTGACATAGAGAGAGAGAGAAAAGAGGTGGATTTAGTAATCAACAGTGCGAAAGAATTAGGATGAAGGTGCTAATTACATTGGTAGAAGGGATTCCGGAGTAATTCCAGAAATATTTTTTTTTTCTCTTGTCTTTTTTTTTTCTCTTAATAATTGTTTCTGGGGTTGAGTTATTAGTTAATTACATGTAATAATTCCAGAGTGATTAAGAGACGGATTCGTTAAAGTAAAGTTTGTGATAAATGGCAAATTGGATTTTTGGGTGGTCTGAATAGCGGAATTCAACCAAACGGGATAAGTGGTTTTAGCAAAATTTAAGTATACGTTGTCTGTGGAAGATCCAGCAGGAGGTCCGAATCCGATTTTAGTACCTCTTGAAAATTGCTTGCCCGCGGAGATCCGGAGATTAGGCGGAAACACATGATGGTCCAGGCGATTTGCATATTAAAATTCGGGGGCGGTGACTAAAGATGGTATAGCTCCGCCTCTCTCTATATAAGTTGCCCGCACGCTTGAGTTAGTCAGATGAGTTCGGAGTTCGGAGATCAGAACGCGGAAGAGGCGGCTTGTTGGAATTTGCTGGTCTGGTCTGTTGGTTGCCCTGTGACAAGAAGACCGATCCGAACCAAGAGATCGAAATAGAACCCGTACGAATCCAGATAACTTCGTCAACAAGGCTGCGAGAAAGCAGACTGCTATATCGTAGGGTGCAGACGAAGATCCACGAATTACTTCCCTTAGATCAGCCGAAATTGTTTAGGCAGAAATTTTCCTACTCTCTCTCTCTCTCTCTCTCTCTCTCTCTCTTTCCGACCCAAACGAGTGAATCTCGTTACGACATTTTGTACTCGTGCAAATTCTTCGGTGGAGACATAAAAAACAGTAGCCTAAATAGGGCTCTTTGCACAGGAACAGGAGTTGCTTTTTTTTCTTTTTCATGTGTTTGCGGCTACGACAAGAAACTTTTGCTGCATGAATAGTGATTTCCTTTCAGCGAAATACCCAGCCATTTCCTCCCCTACCCACCGGATCGTTCTGGGGAAATCGATACACTGCTTTTCGGATCAAGAATTCACAACGTGGCGAATAGAGGTGGTCCCTTCAGTTCACCGGAGGAAGATCGGTTGGATTTCTTTTTCGGACAGAACCACCGGGGAGACAGGACAGAACTCCAACAGGAGTTATTACGTTAGAGCTATATCAAAGCATCGAAAAACTTCAGGGCGAACAAGTGATCACGGCAACACCAGAATTTCGCGACTTACTCAAGGCTGATACAATTAAGGCTAGACACGACAGAAGTAAAAACTTTTCAGAAATATTAACAAAGCAACTACAAATTGCTGCTAAGGAACTTCATAATCATCCGGATATAACCGTCAAAAAACAGACAAAACTAGCATCTTTGTTGTCTTAAAAAAATCAGACTACATCACAAAATTGAGACAAATACTCCATGACCACAGAAAATTTTTTAAAAAATAAGAGGAATCCAACCACCCAAATAAAATTAAAAATTAACAAACTTATCACTGCTAATAATACAGAACAGGACAGTTTAAAACTTCCTAAAATTGTGGGCGATTATTGGCCCGGTTATGTATATGGCTCTATAAAAACACACAAACAAATCTGCCTTCTTCGTTTTATTATATCGCAGATACTTACTCCATCGTATCAATTAACAAAAATCATCAACCAACCTATCACACCATTCATCCCCAGTAAATACAGCATAAAAAACTCTTGATGTAATTCAAATTCTAAAAAATGAAAAACCTAATAATGAAACCATGGCCTCATTTGGCGTCGAAAATTTATTCACTAATGGCCCTGTTAGTGAAACTATCGATATTATTATAAGAAACATGTACAGTAATCCAGCTTTACCTCCACTTAAAATTAGACCCTGTATATTAAGAAAAGTACTGCTAGTTTTCACTACCGAAGTTCCATTCTATGATCACAAAAAATAATATATATATATATATATATATATATATATATATATATATATATATTTCTAATATCATATAATTTAATAATTATTGGTTTAATATTGTCTCAATAAAAGATCTGAATAGCTATTATAAATGGTTCGTTGTCAAGCTTTTTGAATCTTCCTATATGTACATGGGTTTTGATTGGTCATTCTAGCTTTTTAACAATGTTTTCCCCTAAAAATTCTAAGAATAAGAAATTTGCTGGTTATTGGAATTCATTCCAAATACACCAATCATATACTTAAATATATATATATATATATATATATATATATATATATATATATATCACTTGAAGATGAAATGGAACTAATGTTTTTAATTTAATTATAAAATAAATTCAAAAACTCAGCTTCCATTTTTGAAACATGGTTAATACTGTGTAGCGAAAAACCATTTTTTAAATATATATATATATATATATATATATATAAAAAGTGAACATTGAAGGCAACACTTAGAGGCGACAGGCTGTTTCATCCTAGACGCACTCGTCAGGCCACGATTGCGTTCAATGTTCACTTTTATATTTACACCCGCTCTATAATTCTGTCCTTAAATTTTCATACGAACTCAATACTAGCAATAAAATTCCTTTTCTAGATATATTGAAAAACACTAATAACAATAAATTCACTATCTGCCCATAAAAAACCTACCAGCATAAATTCGTGCACCTTTAACTATAAGAATGAATGTCCGAATTACTATAAAATAGTAATTATAAAAAAACTAATAAACCGTGCAAAAATTAATTCATCCACAAAACAGATTTTCTACAGTGAGCTAAAAAATATAAAACAAACTCTTATTAATAATATCTTCTGTAAACTCCAAAAGAACACGACTACAATTACTAGAAGCATTAAGCAAACAACCCAAAATCAATAAAATGTTATCAAATTTAGGAACAACTGTACTGAATATATTTTATAAATAAATCAAGAACGAAACTGATATGTGAAGGAGTAATACTTTCAAAAGCGACATTGTAAGCTTTTCATTTAGCATTGTAAATGAAATAGTAACGATGTTGGAGATTTTTAAAAGTGTTTTCAATATATAGTTCTTCTTTATATTGGGGGCTACAGATTCGTAGTGCTCCTAAAATAAAATCCTATAATTACTCGTTCATAAATATCTCAATTGTTATCTGTATACAACTGTTTTTCTCAGATCATTGGCTAAAATTGCTTCGACTAAGCAATGTATGTGGATCCTCCCTTTTCGAAAAAGAATTATAACTTTATAAAGTAATAGAAAGCCCATTACATGTGAGTTTTAAACATCAACCACAACTCAAATGAATATCACAGGTAACTCGAAGAGCATTATCAACATGTTGACTTTTCACACTACTTCAAAAAAAAAGGCTACGAAGGAAACCCCCATCAATACTGGAAAGAGCGATAATGGTTACTGGACGTTTTCATAAAAATCTGTTTTATGAGAAAGATTTTTCCTTCTTTGAAAATAAGCATTTGAAATTATCTAGGGGCCAATACCAACCACGACCATCGGTTGTAAATACGCAACTATCTTAGCCATCAAGCGGATGTATATATATATTTTCAATCAAAACTTGCGTCGTGACATTTCAAGTAAACAGTCAGCAGGTTGATATCAATCAACTACTTATCTTTCAACTTCGGTTTTCTCAAATGACTCATTCTCATTTTTTGACCCAACTTGCTTCCGTTTTGAATTAGACATTTAATATAAAAGGCTCAAAAAACATTAATTTCCGCCGGGATGGTGGATATACGAGTTTGTTATATATGTGTTACTGTCATTTTATGATTTCAATCCTTGAATCAGGTAGTGAATCTCCAATTCAACGGGAATGAACAAAAACTAACAACAGAGAGACAAAATATCACAATAATCAATACCCTGATGATGACCAGAGTTGTCCAAAACTGAAACATTGTGTCTATAATAATTAACGGGACTGGGAGTGCTGTGTGAGTTATGAGTGAAAGAGGGGCAACCGGATTATCATCCAACATGATACCTTGGGAGTATATAACTGCAATCTTTGCTTCGCTCAATGCGCGAGAAGTGACGAGAGTTGTGGCAGAAAAAAGTCGTCGCTGCTTTATCACGACAATGCACCTGCTCACAACGCCATGACCATTCGGCACTTCCTGGCCGGCAGGAACATCGCCGTACAACCTCCCTATTCACCTGATCTTGCTTCGTGGGACTTTTATCCTATTACCCAAACTGAAGGGGATCATCAAAGAGACCCGTTTTGAAGACGTGGAAGTCATCAAGATGGCCGTAACGACGGACCTAAGGGGTATCCAAGATGAATCGTTCCAGAAGTGCGTAGAAGCGTAGCAGAGAAGGATGCAAAAGTGTATTAGACTCGAAGGGAACTACTTTGAAGAGAAAGCCATGTTATTTGAAATTGAAATAAATTGTTTTTGACACCAGTCCCGTTACTTTTCACACATACCTCGTATATTAACCAAGATGAGAACAAGATCAGTGGGTCATATTCATGGGCAAGATTCGCAAAAGATTCCATTTTCATAGTTTTGAACGTGGATTCATAAGGTCATTAGGGCGATGTGAACTAAATAGAACTGACTCGCTCATTTCACCACTCTCACGTCGCTAACCATTGCACTATCTGTATGCACATAATAGCATCCATAACAAAGATAAAAGCAATAATTCAAAATTATCAAAGTATATTGACAATCTATATATAAATTTCTGTAACTTTCGTTCGTCTATCCATCCGCCACACCCTCTAAAATAGCCATATATTGACCGATCGAAACCACATTCTAGGTAGAAGTGCAAAAGAGGTAAGGGGGTACAAAGTACAGTTGGTTTCACTGGGGTGCGTAGTTTGGCACAATAAATTGTCAGTCATTTTTTGGAAAAATTAAAAGTTATTATTTAACATACAAAATACTCCCACTATTTAAAAAAAATTTAATGACTAAAATAAAAATTACTTATTTAAAAAAAATGCAACATCGTTTTTGCATGTCTTTTCTTTAAGATATATATATATATATATATATATATATATATATATATATATATATATATATACTTCTTTGAGACATTATATACAAGAATCGAATTTCTAGTTCGGTCTCTGCTTGCAAGAACTATAAACAAATCACAAAGCCAAACACTTCAAAAAGTTGGAATTTGGCTCCAGAAAGAGATATTTACACATGGCCAGTTGTATGTTGCAAAATATTAAGAAATCGTAAGAATGTATTCTTCACTGTTGAAAAGGAAATTTTGTTAAAAAATATTGTTTACCATGAAGTCCTATAAAATTAAATAAAAGAAGTTATTAAACTGCGAAGCAAAGATTTTGTCAAAATATTTTACCAAACAAATCAGCTTATTCAAATTTCATCGAATGATTTGCAAAATTGAATGAAATAAAGAGTCTCTAAATATCGACAAAAATGTCAGCGATAACATGAAAAAAAAAACTAAATATTGTGAGGAAAAGTTAGTGCCTTAAAGTTCGCATTTTTTGTATTCATGACTATATAGTTAATGCTTCGACAAGTTCACATAAAAAAAACATATTTTTAAGCATTAACTATATCAACCGTTAAGTACGCCATGTTCATTAATCGCACTAAAGATTGCGAGATGACCTTTCCATGTGAGACGTCAAATTAAAGCAGCTACGGACATTCATTTCCCTGGGGTAGTGTAGAAACGCAGACGGTAGACATCTTGTAGATCAGAAGAATAACGAAAGTTTTTTTTCCAAAAACTGGATTTAAAATATCCTTTTTTTTTACAATATTCACCCAGTGGTAACAGTAATGATATTATTAACAGTTTCCCTATGAGGAAACATTTGGCATTCATTAACCGAACAGTCTGTACTGCTTTCGGTTGAAACTTCAGGAAAATGGTTTCTCAAATCCAGTAGCTGTTATCGCTCTTTCCAGTATTAATGGTGGTTTCCTTTCTAACATTTTGTT